AACATTATGCTTGTGAGCCATGCAAAGGCATAATTTTCTATGTAAGATTAGGCGACTGTGCTTAATGCGATACATGAGGTGTAATATATGAACATTATGAATTAAGAATATGAAGCTGAGTGCAGTAGTTAGTTGATGTCTTTATTAACCACTGTGCATTTTCTTATCTTGTTATCATATTTGTACAAAGCAAACAAATGTTTTAATATACATGTTATTCGATATACGAATGACACCATTGTTGTTACAAATTATAGTAAACTTTGTGTTGTACATAAACGCATTTAAATTATAATAACATGTGTATATAAAGAAACGATTGAATGTTTTCAAATACTATCTGTAAATTTCTGAAAATTGTCTGCTTAATAATTTACATAGTACCATCCTTTACCCTCCTTTCGAAATCTATCGTTACGTCTCATGGATATTGTACATATTTTACAATAATACCAAAGACAAGGAGTGCAATAAGGGGAATATCATTGTTTAAAAGGAGTTCAATCAGTATAATATATAAAAAATAGCACTGTCGATCCTAAAAAGGAACAGTTATTAGTTAATAATAAAGATATATTTACAATCAATTATTTTTTTTTCTACATAATTTACAATTGCCAACTCCTAATGGCAGTGTTAACAACGCAGAATAGTTCATCTTTAAATGTTAATTCCAATTATTTATTGGAGCAAAAAATCACATCGATATTAAATTAGATTATTTTGCCAATTATAATTAGTAACTGTACATATTTAACACAATGCTTATTACACCAGTATTATCGTACTTTCTAGTTACAATTATCAATAAACACGTTGTAACAGAATCGAGCGGACGATTAAATAGGATGGACACATACAAAGATCATTGATTTAGGGATATATTTAGAAGAGACAATTTTCGTGTTTTTTTTCTTTTTTCGAGATAATTATGTTTGCGATTTTCATTAAGTTGTTCCAAAATTATCAGACCGACACGTTCTACAAGAAGTCTCGAGGGCAGATGAAATTACAATAAATAAAGTGTTACGGTTTTTCACTTGTGGTTTACCCAAACAGCAACATGGGATTTGAAGTTCTTTCACAGTTTCGTCGGTAATAGTTAAATTTCGAGTCAAATATATTATACATTTCATGTACAAGTATAATCTAATTTGGAATAAACATAGTAGTAAACTAAGATAGTGTAGCATGGAAATATATAACGGTTACAATACTTGAATGGAACTTTTACATTCTGTCGTTACGCATATTACAGAAGCCGTAGACATCAAGTCTACGTAAGGTAACATTCATACATTCCATTTAATTTGCTATCTGGGTGTCTATTCTGAGGTATGTGGTTCACTAAAAATGTAAAAATGTAAGACTTAATACAGTTACGAAGAGGTAGACATTCATATGCGAGTTAAATAAACATATTAACTGTTTTGAAAGCATTTTTCTTTTCTTATTTTTTCGTTTTTTTTTAAGGAATCGACAATCGATAATAATGCAAACATTTTTTTTATTTTGATCGATTGATTTAAAAAGAACCAGACGATTTGAAAATTTGGGAACACGTTGATTGATTACATTTTGTATCTATATTGAAGATTTCAAAAATTTTTGACCGTGGACACAAATCTTTACTCACACGATAAGTACATGCATGTTTTCGAAAATATATACGTGTATATATATATATTTTTATATATATATATTTATTCATTTATTATATATTTATATTCTTCCATGGTAGTAATACTCGCAGCTAACTCCTCCTGGTTTGATTCAACACTTGATCCTTAATCTAATGTGGCATCGAGTTTTTCTTTCGTTATCTTTTTTTTTTTGTTACGTACATCAACAAATCATTTACATCTATATTTAATATCTTATTACGAAGTCGGTGGAAAAGTGAAAGTAGTAAAATAGCATTTTTTCCAGGTACTTCTTTGATAGAGGATATAAACAGTAGGAGTTGCAAAGGGTGGTACTACCAGCCTACCAGTACGAGCAAAGATTTCTGTTCTTGTTGCCACACTTGAGCCTCGAATCTAGCACGTGTAATATACCGATGGCTTAGATACCACAGGCGTCGAAAAGACAACCTTCACAGCACTGAAAAGTTTCTGACTATTGACTAAACAATAATAATAATAATCTATTAGTGAAAAATTACTACGGTTCGATCGCTACCTTAACATTCAGTAAATATTTATCTATTTAACAATTGCGATAAGACAATATTGATCTTATATACTTAGTTAATAATCGCTAGATAATGTAGGACCACATAAACCTTGCTCCAATGATTCTTTCATTTCTTAAACAGAATCTTTATTATGATACAATATACAATAATAAAATATCGCATTTTTCGTGGTTATTTTTTTTTCCGCCACCTATTTGAAAAAAAATAATAAAAGAGAAAATACATGAATAAAGTTCTAAATTAGTGAAGACATTAAGTAGCTAATGATTTTTTTCTCAGTAAGCAACAGAAATATATTTATTTCATTAAACTATACACAAAATATTATAATTACATATTTAACATGATTTATACTTTACAACATAATTGGAATGTGTTAACTAGTATTTACAATATAATAGCCCTGCTGTGTGCAAGTGTGACAAAATGCAGATTTTGTTTTTTAATTAGGAAGTTCTAAGGATGCCCAGGTGGCCGTGCGACATATATGTATATATGTATATATAAGTATATCACATGAAATTTTACTGTCGTTCCAAGTATGCCCATTGAATCCCTTGCAAGAAGCACGATTGTGACCGTTAGAGTCGGCAATTCTTTGTGTGTTTACCTTTTATTTCTTTTTATCTTCGTTCGTTCGTGTTTACTATTAGGATATCGTTTCTTTCGTTTTTCGTTCAAAATGAGAGCAAGGCTTCAGTGGTATTATGCTTAAAAATAATCGCTTCTAGTATTAGAAAAATAGCTTTGCTTATTTAGACAAAAGTTGCCTGCCCTTTGACCAATATTTTGTTAACCACCCTTTGTACTGTTTTCAAGGCATCTTGCTTACTGTTTCCCTGCGCTTGTACCCACCAACAGGGGTAGTAATTCTCCATGGATACATCTCTAAAACTTCAACATCAAATATAGAAAATATATGTCATTATGTTTATATATTTAGATACAGTTTATAATACATATATTATGTATATATGTAAAGTATGTACGTCTATACTCGATTTGTTTTTTTGCATAGGTATTTTATGAACCAGGGCCCCTTAACTTGGTCCAATACCTAAGCAGCGTTAGCTCTTAATAGGTACTTGAGGTCCACTTTGACAGTAAGGGGCTCTATCGTGATTTCTGAGATATAGCAATACACTAACTCGTGACAATGCTGCCGAACGAATCTATCGTTTCATTTTCTTTTAGCATGAAGCATCTCCATGAGAAGAGTTTGGGTCGGTGCTCCACCACTACAATGCTTCTGGTAAAGATGATCTTCTCCCCTGCTTGCTACCACATGAATTTCGGGTAATACTGCTAGCAGCTTATTAAACTTATCCTATTCGCACAAATACATTAGAGATTATTATTCAAATTGTACAATATAAACGTCCCGTGAACGAGATCAAATTGTAATAATAGAGACACGTAAACGTACCGTTACAGATGGATAACATGTCAACGTGTAATCCAAAAGAGCTTGTAGAACTTGTTCATGACCTTCTTGCACATGTTTCTTGTTCACTAGTCCACGAACTTCTAAACAATCCAATGAAAATTTTCTTGTTAGTTCAGTAGTGTATTTCGTCTCATTAATCAATATACTATATTTATATTATATTTATATAATATTTATATATATAATATATCTATATTTATACTATATTTATATTTTTGTCCCAAAAATGTCTCGCAATCCGGAAATGGTGGATTCCTTAGGTTATTCGAAGTAACTTTTTCCTTAGCGAAAATGCAAACCGCGGCTTCGTTTACAAGTTATTAATGAAAAACGCCTACCAATAAGAAGCGAGCTCTGCTGGCGCGTGACGGCCGAGCCAATGAGCGGAGCTGGGCTTCGCGCGCTCGTTGGTTCGGCCGCCTCGCGTCAGCAGAGCTCGTCTCTCATTGGTCACTGATTTTCGTTGATAACTCGTAAACGAAGCCGCGGTTTGCATTTTCGCTAAGGAGAAAGTTGCTTCAAATAATCTCGGGAACCCTCCATTTCCGGATTACGAAACATTTTTCAGACACCCTATATATACCATTAATTTCATTATTATTATTATCGTGTTATAAATTCGAATTTTGTCGATCAACTTACCATGATTGAGCAGCATCAGGAATTTCATGCATATGTAGTCCGAAAGATCGAATTTGAGTTCCTGAAGTTTCGTCGACAACTCGTTGAAAAGATTTGCCAGGGAAGGAACTCCAAGTAGGCCGAGACAAAGGAGATCAAACTTTTGGCCATTATGAAGTGTGGTCTCGTCAGGTAGATTATTATGTAACCTTTGATGAAGGTGGTCGAGCACCAACATATCCGACCAGGAGTGTTGCAGAAGCTTCATTTGGTCGTCAACCTTTCAAACAATTTCATAAAAAATAATACGTTAACGTACGTTTATCGTTCGATTCGATGAATCTCTATAAATAAATAAATAAATAAATAAATGAACTAGTCGAGCCGTCGAACGTTCTAACTTTCTCACGATAACAATTCAAACGTGTACTATGCACATATGTATCGTTCGTTTCTGTAAAATCTACCGTGTACCGCGTTTTACGGCACGCGCCGTTTATAAAATTGCAGAAACTTATTGCATTCATGTTCCATATTGTCTAGAGAATATTAAAAGTAGGACTCGAAACCGTGGCAGATATTTTTACACCTTTGTTTATATATAGATACGGATATATGTATAGACATTGTGCATGGATATATATATACATATACTCACAAAACCGAAGTAATTTAGTTAACAAAACCGAGACTAGAAAGTTAAAATTTACTGTAGCAAATATTAGCTTAATTCTTTCGAATTCTGAAAATCTTAGTAAAGTTCAGTTCGGTCGAATGAATCGCAATAAATATGAGTTTCAAAACTTAGTTGGCGCGTCGAGTGCCGGAAATCAACCCCTACGATTCTCACAAAATCGAAGTAATTTAGTTAACAAGACCGAGACTAGATAGTTAAAATTTACTGTAGTAAATATTAGCTTAATTCTTTCGAATTCTGTTAATCTTAGTAAAGTTCAGTTCGGTCGAATGAATCGCAATAAATATGAGTTTCAAAACCTAGTTGACGCGTCGAGTGTCGGAAATCAAACCCTATAATTCTCACAAAGTCGAAGTAATTTAGTTAACGAAACCGAGACTAGAAAGTTAAAATTTACTGTAGCAAATATTAGCTTAATTCTTTCGAATTCTGTTAATCTTAGTAAAGTTCAGTTTGGTCGAATGAATCGCAATAAATATGAGTATATATGTATGTATATATATATGTATAAATGTATATACGTGTATAATAAAAAGTGAGAAAACTGCAGGAACGTTTAAGCAGGCAGTTTATAATTAACATGGGCCTGCTTTAGGGCAACCGCCATAACCCAGAAACGTATCTTGTTATGACCTAGATATGAGGCGATGCTTGAAATCATTCAGTGATTGTGCAATGCTGTTGGTTACCTCACATCCCCGCTCGTACCACCAACAGGCCAGCGACGAGTTATTTATCGGTAAGAACTAACTTCTCGTGAAAAGATTCTCAACAACGGTTTTAAAATTCACGAAATTTTTACCGCTCGATAACGATATGCTCTGCAGCTACCAGTCGTTAAATATTATTATACACGCATACACACGTATCTATCTCGTTGCATATCATTCTGAGGATTTTCTCAACCGCGTGCAAAGAAGAAGAAAATAAAAATCGATCGTCGATCGATGGATCTACTAAAACGGTAGCATCTCTATCGCAACTGCCTACACGGATGACGTCTGCGACGAGAAGAGATTCGTAACGATACGATGTGTTCCTTGGCCCTCAAATGGTCAGGCGGAGTCTCGGAACACACCGACAAAGCTCGATCGAACATTTATTAAGTGCCGAAAATCAACCTTCACGATTCTCATAAAATCGAAGTAATTCAGTTAACAGAATCGAGACTAGAAAGTTAAAATTTACTGCAGCAAATATTAGTTTAATTCTTTCGAATTCTGAAAATCTTAGTAAAGTTCAGTTCGGTCGAATGAATCGCAATAAATATGAGTTTCAAAACTTAGTTGGCGCGTCGAGTGCCGGAAATCAACCCCTACGATTCTCACAAAATCGAAGTAATTTAATCAACAAAACTGAAACTAGAAAGTTAAAATTTTCTGCAGCAAATATTAGCTTAATAATTCCATATTCTGAAAATCTTAGTAACGTTCAGTTCGGTCGAATGAATCGCAATAAAAACGAATCTCAATTAACATTCTCTTCAGATTCTCCAATAATCGTTTCGTCGCATTCTCGTTGCAACGAACGTTATCGCGCGAAGAAAAATACAGTGCTCTCGACTGTTCGCCGCTTTATTTTAATTTGAACTTGAATTCGCATCGTCTCTACGTAGACCGTGCGATTTACTTTGTAATTAGATTATGCTCACGATGGCAAAAAAAAAAACAAAAAAAAAATGCCGTTCGATGTCGCTAATAAACTTGATTTGAAAATATCACGCTTGTAACCAACAATTTTATTGCGTACGAGACGAAAAAGTTCTGCTGCTTTATAAAGTGATGCAATTAAGAATTAAAAATGACGTAACCGACCGTTAAAACGCAGTTTGTGAAAGTATGTGGTTTTATGTTATTGGCTGCGAACGCGGCAAGGACCACTTTTGCTGCTCAAAAGGTGTCGTTTGGCTCACAAAATGGCGGCTCTGCAGAAATTGAAATTCGACTTGGACGACAATGCTTGACATTTGAACATCATTCTTACGAGATCAATACTTCGTCTAGCTACTTAATAGTCCTTTTTTTTAAATCGAATATAATATAATTAATATATTATCGTATAACGTTTAATTTAATTTTATGATATATTTTCTGGAGATACTTCTTTTAGACGCGTCATTTTTTCTATTCATTCGAATTGATTAACGGACCGCGCATCTTCGTGCGAACGCGTACAAATTTTTCTGAAACGATTTATAGAAAATAGAACTGAAAGGGATCTTTATGCTATTATGACTATAGTGATATGATAGCTATATGACCATATTCCGTGACCAAACTGAATATTACCAAGATTACCTGAACACGAAAGAGTTCAGCTGAGAGTTTTGCTATAGTAAATTTTACCTTTCTAGTCTCAGTTTTGTTAACTAAATTACTTCGATTTTGTGAGAATCGTAGGGGTTGATCTCCGGCACTCGACGCGTCAACTAGGTTTTGAAACTCATTTTTATTGCGATTCATTCGACCGAACTGAACTTTACTAAGATTATCAGAATTCGAAAGAATTAAACTAATATTTGCTGCAGTAAATTTTAACTTTCTAGTCTCGATTCTGTTAACTGAATTACTTCGATTTTATGAGAATCGTGNGAAAGAATTAAGCTAATATTTGCTCCAGTAAATTTTAACTTTCTAGTCTCGGTTTTGTTAACTAAATTACTTCGATTTTGTGAGAATTATAGGGTTTGATCTCCGGTACTCGACGCGTCAACCAACTTTTGAAACTCGTTCGACCGACAATTCACTAAAATCTTTTAGAACCCGCGACAGTCAAGGTAGCAATACTTGCTAAAGCAGCGAATGGTAGGCATTCCAGTTTCGCTAACTAAACACGATTCCGGCACTCTCAGTCGATATTCGACACTTTAGGAATTAGGTCGCGGACCCACCACTCACCTTGAGATCTTTGAAGAACACCGAATTCCTAGCCCAGTCCACCTGCGAGAACAGATTCTGATCGAGCACTTTGCACATTAATTCGAACAAGTCCACTTCACACTGATTGTACGTTTGGTTTTGCAACAGTCCGAAAAGGGACGCCTGCCACTCGCGATCGTCGACCGTTTGCACGAAGTCTCTTATCATCGGACTAGTTTTCAAGGCGGCGGTCGAGGGCGCGGAGCCGGCGGCTCCGTGAGGTTGCGTGGACTGTTCGCCGAAGCTGAAGGGCTTGGGGCTTGGGGTGGTGGAGTTGGCAGCCCACAGCTTGCTATCCAGGCCAGGGTTGAGATTGTGCAGGTGATTACCGCCAGAAATGTTTGGCTGGGAGGACGGTGCGATCAGTTGGTGCTGACCAGCTCCGCTGCCAGCCTGTGTCGTGACCAGACCAGCGGCCACGGCTGCGGGGGATGGACTCGAATCTGGAGAAGACGTTAGACTCGAGACCTGAGGTATTTGGATCTCCTGTTTAATATGCAGGAAAGGCGTTACGGCGGAGGGATAGTTCGATGGATCACCGAGGCTGCCGCGTATCGTTTGCAGTGCCAGCTGCCGTTGCCTCATCATTTGGAGCTTTCGCGCTCGGTCCCTCTTGTACATTGGGCCGAATTTGTTCCTACCGCCTCGCATTCGGTCTGCCCGCACGGCTGTAACAGAAAATTATCGAGTTAAACACCATGATTGCGCCTCCGCGAGTTGGACCCCCCGATCGAGGACCGTTTCTCGCCGACCACGATTTCCGACGCGGCGCGATAAACAAAACGTAAAACCTTCTTTAAATGCTCTAGATGCGAGTTAACCACCTTATACTGTTTACAATCGGGTCCTACACATTTTCGCATGAATTTCTAACTGCGAGTCAGAAGACGCGATTCGTTCGCGAGCGACGCGACCTGCGTCGAGACACGCTTTTATCTGGTCGCGCGTTGCGACGAGCCCCGTGAAATCTTTATTATCTTTGAAATATTAATATATTGTATAATATTTCGCGTCGTTAATTTTCGAGGAACGATTAAGATTATTCGAACGATTATTCGAAGCTCGCCGTCGACGGAAAAACCGGGGCTACAATAATGTCTATCTAATTGACGCACAGATTGTCCACAAGAATGGACAATTTGGAAAGAGGAGATACGATTGTTCGAGCCTTGCGGTTTATTATATCATTAGTGGCAACGTGACGTCAAATCGATCACGTATCAACAACGTTGCGACTCGATGTTGCATTGATTTTGTATGAATAACGGTGATTCGACGTCGAAATCACTCCACATCGATAGATAGTCTGTCTAAAAAATTGCGAATATTTCTCTAATAAAATTATCCTTGTTTTCTAACTGTATTATGTATATCTAATCGCACCTAATTCGAAGCCGATACTACCAGTTGACACACGTAACTATGTATGTCAGAGAATTAACTCGTTTTATGCTTCGAAGTAATAGTTTTCCTTTTTTCCTTCAACGTTGTATGGAAGAATTGTTACTTTTGCTCGAGTTGTTATTTATTGCATTCGAACAGATATTACTTGAAGAATGTTAACATATCTGATCAGGTATCATAATATTTATCGCAATAATTAAAGGAGTAAAATTGTTAATGCTGTTGCCAAGTTTACCAATGGAATATACATAACATTGTACAGGATGTTCCAAAATTATTGTACAAGCGCGAAATGAGGGATTCCTGAGGTCATTCGAAGTAACTTTTTCCTTAGCGAAAATGCAATCCGCGGCTTCGTTTACGAGTTATTAGCGAAAAACGCCGACCAATGAGAGGCGAGCTCAGTCGGCTGGCGCGAGGTGGCCGAGCCAATCAGCGGAACTGAGCTCCGTTCGCTCGTTGGCTCGGCCGTCTCGCGCTACAGTGAAAGAACCGAGTCTTCCGAATGTTTCGAACTACGATTAAATACAGTAATGTCTCTCTAATTGACGCCCAGATTGCGCACAAAAATGGACAATTTGGGAAGAGGAGGTACGATTGTTCGAGCCTTGCGGTTTATTTTTATAGTTATAAATTGTCCACAATTATAAAAACGAGCCGCGAGGCTCGAATAATCGTATCTCCTCTTCCCAAATTGTCCATTTTAGTGGACAATCTGAGCGTCAGTAAGGGAGACATTACTGTATCGCTTAGGCGTCGAATTGGGAACGGTTCACGACTGGACATCGGACGATCTTTCCGCAATGTAAACATTGCCTACCCGCGATCGCAATAAATCAGAGTCGAATAAAAACGCGTTCTCTTCGTTAACGAATCATGCAGATTCGAAACTATATACAATAAATACTGCGTAATTTTCCTTCAGCTTGTAAACAAAAATGAACAATTTGGGAAGAGAAGATGCGATTATTCGAGCCTCGCGGCTCAATTTTATAGTCGCCTATTGTGAACAATTATAAAAATGAGGTGCTTGGCTCGAGTAATCGTGTCTCCTCTTCCCAAATTGTCCATTTTAGTGGACAATCTGAGCGTCAGTAAGTGAGACATTACTGTATCGCTTAGGCGTCGAATTGGGAACGGTTCACGACTGGACATCGGACGATCTTTCCGCAATGTAAACATTGCCAACCCGCGATCGCAATAAATCAGAGTCGAATAAAAACGCGTTCTCTTCGTTAACGAATCATGCAGATTCGAAACTATATACAATAAATACTGCGTAATTTTCCTTCAGCTTGTAAACAAAAATGAACAATTTGGGAAGAGAAGATGCGATTATTCGAGCCTCGCGGCTCAATTTTATAGTCGCCTATTGTGAACAATTATAAAAATGAGGTGCTTGGCTCGAGTAATCGTGTCTCCTCTTCCCAAATTGTCCATTTTAGTGGACAATCTGAGCGTCAGTAAGGGAGACATTACTGTACGCGGAACAACGTATAGTCCTCGCGCGACAAGAAGGTGCCTTTGCGCTTATATTCCCCCCACCCCCACACCCTTATTAGCTGCCACACTGCCGCGGCACTCGATCGCTATTGGCCGAGAACGGCGGCGAAGATCGTCGTCGGTCAATTCATATTATTCGCGAAGCGCGAAGAGATTCGATTATTTCATAAGTTTTACAGTAATGTCTCTCTAATTGACGCCCAAACTGCGCACAAAAATGGACAATTTGTGGAGAGGAGACACGATTATTCGAGCCTTGAGGTTTATTTTTATAATTATAAATTGTCCACAATTATAAAAACGAGCCGCAAGGCTCGAATAATCGTATCTCCTCTTCCCAAATTGTCCATTTTAGTGGACAATCTGAGCGTCAGTAAGGGAGACATTACTGTATCGCTTAGGCGTCGAATTGGGAACGGTTCACGACTGGACATCGGACGATCTTTCCGCAATGTAAACATTGCCAACCCGCGATCGCAATAAATCAGAGTCGAATAAAAACGCGTTCTCTTCGTTAACGAATCATGCAGATTCGAAACTATATACAATAAATACTGCGTAATTTTCCTTCAGCTTGTAAACAAAAATGAACAATTTGGGAAGAGAAGATGCGATTATTCGAGCCTCGCGGCTCAATTTTATAGTCGCCTATTGTGAACAATTATAAAAATGAGGTGCTTGGCTCGAGTAATCGTGTCTCCTCTTCCCAAATTGTCCATTTTAGTGGACAATCTGAGCGTCAGTAAGTGAGACATTACTGCAATTGCACCACGTGTACAACACGGGTCCTCCACCTACGAGAGCTGCAGGTGTTATTTGGCACGTTCGGACGCGTCGCCATTGAAAGATGAACGCCGCGACTGCCAACACCGATTATTTATTGCTCGCGATTAACCGCCGGGAACAACCTGTTAACATACTCCGCGTACTCGACGCTTTACTAATACGCGCGGATTAATTCGAAGCCGAGCGCGCCGAACGAATCCGACCCGTGCACTTGTTGCTCGCGCGCGATCCTGCAACTTAACGAATCGCGGGGTTCGCGGAAGCGGGAGAGCTTTCCAGTTTAGAAATTGCACGGTGAGAAATTGCAAGCTGTTTGTTAAGTTCTCCGTTATTTTCTCCGTTCTTTGAGTTCTGTTCCGGTCGAGTATACAGGGTGCCCCGGAAATGTCTCGCAATCCGGAAATGGGGGATTCCTCAGGTCATTTGAAGTAACTTTTTCCTTAGCGAGAATGTTCTACGAAGCTTTGTTTACGAGTTATTAACGAAAAACGCTGACCAATGAGCGGCGAGCTTGACCGACGCGCGGCGGGGCCCGGCCAACGAGCGCGCGAACTGGGGTTCCGCTCATTGGCTCGGCCGACGCGAGGCAGCCGAGTTCGCTTCTCATTGGTCAGCGTTTTTCGTTAATAACTCGTAAACGAAGCCGCGGGTTGAATTTTCGCTAAGGAAAAAGTTACTTCGAATGACCTCAGGAATCATTTCTGGTTTGTGGGACATTTTTGGGACAACCTATGTACAGTAAATTCTTCCGAAATTGTCCATTTTTTGTGCGCAGTCTGAGCGTCAATTAAGGCGAATTTACTGTGTTCAGGAAACATTGATGACGTTGATAATATTGTTTATTTAAGTTAATTAACCCCTTGCTACGAATCAAGATTTCATAGTTACCGTAGTTTGTTAAATATAAATGTTATTCGCCTGTTCTAGATTGAAACAAAATTCGATTTCTTCCGTTACGACTGGACTGCGGATTTTACGCGTTCATTGCGAAATTGTGCCGGTGAAACTGAAAACAACGTGAAGGTTTAAAACGAACTGAGAACCGTCGGTGTACTAATTGCAACTCACTAAAATGATTAAAGAAAGAAAATTATACTAGTCTCGTCCGCCTTGCAACCGATGCAAAAGATTATTATTATTTCGCCTAAAGATCCGCAGTCTAGTTACGACGTACGAGAAACAGAAATTAGAAATTAAAAAATCTTAAAAAATCAAAAATTAAAAATTAAAAAATTAAGTTTATTTACTTCTGGGCGGTGTTGCAAAATGTATTTCTGTATTCGTTTACGACACAAATGAAACTCGAAGTATTGATTCGAAGTACGCGGCAAAAAATCGGCGAAATTTTGTATACAAATAATACAATATATAGCAATATACAATATACAATATATAGTATATAATATATAATATATAATATATAATATATAATATATAATATGTAATATGTAATATGTAATATGTAATATATAGTATATAATATATAATATATAGTATATAATATATAATATGTAATATGTAATATGTAATATGTAATATGTAATATGTAATATGTAATATGTAATATGTAATATGTAATATGTAATATGTAATATGTAATATGTAATATGTAATATGTAATATGTAATATGTAATATGTAATATGTAATATGTAATATGTAATATGTAATATGTAATATGTAATATGTAATATGTAATATGTAATATGTAATATGTAATATGTAATATGTAATATGTAATATGTAATATGTAATATGTAATATGTAATATGTAATATGTAATATGTAATATGTAATATGTAATATGTAATATGTAATATGTAATATGTAATATGTAATATGTAATATGTAATATGTAATATGTAATATGTAATATGTAATATGTAATATGTAATATGTAATATGTAATATGTAAATGTTCTGGTGCACAGTATTCGGTTCGCTTTTCGGTGTCGCGAATTTGGCGTTTCGAACGC